AGATAAAGAAGAGGGAGTTTGATGAGGGGTTTTGGAAACTCAGGGTAAGGGGTTAGGAAATAGAGTTCACTGAGGCAGGATATGGTGCTTGATCCCAAGCTAAAAGGATGGTATCAGCCTCTGCATCTTTTCTTCCCCCTTTCTTACCCACCTGCTTAGCCCCCAATGTGGAAGTACCACCATTAGCAAGAGGCAGCCTTTTCTGTGTGTTGATTTGTTCTTGGCATTTCAGCCAGCACCAGCTAGTCTGCTTTCTAGGCAGGGATGGCAGTTAATCTGTTCAACTGAGACCACTCATTGGAAGAACATTGAAGTTTGTCAAAGGTATTGCCTCCTTTCCTACCGTCTGCCTTTCTTCAAGGATTAGGTTTCCCAGCCCTTTCTGTGTTCTTCAGGATTTCCTCCCATTTTCCTGCATGGGAGCAGCCTTCTGCCATGGCCATGAATCTGTTAGGCTAGGAAAATACTTGAAAAATTGCTAGTGCAGATTTGGTTACTTAAAGCTGTGCATTTGGACTTTTTTCATTCAGGCATCATCATTTAAGGCACTGTGGTTGAATTGCAAGGTTCCCATCACAAAACCCACACAAACTTACTACAAGCATGTGTGGGATTTACCTGGCTCTCTTAGTGGGTGATTTTCCTGCCAGTAGTTAGCACAACTTGGCAAAAGCTCTTCACAACTGAAAGAATATAAGAACCCCATCTAGGGGTTAACGAAAGCTCCATTTCTCAAAGATTCAGCCAAATTTATGAGAAAAACCCGAATCTGAGCGTTGTCGTGAGCCTGTTCTTTAGATTTGCCTGTTGATGTTACTTAATCTGCACAGCAAAGAACCTGTGTCACATGCATGAGGCTCTGTTGGGAGATTGTTTAAACACCCCTTGTCTAACCCTGATCTGGTACCTTCCTGCTTGAAAATGTACTTCATCAGGCAGCCAATTCATGTTAGAACTTGCAGCCCTTCCTGTGAGAGCGCTGGCAAACCCCCCTCTCCTCCTTACACATACACCCAGTGAGGTATGGACTGTAATTTTGGGCATGGTTTTGTTGTGGTGTGAAGAGAAGGTGTTAGCTGCTGAGTTCTATTTGTCAGCAGAGCCTGACAAACCCATGCTGGCACTCGCTGGGACTGGGCAACCAATCACAGCTGGAACAGTTATCGTCATGGAGTCCCTATGGGCTTTCTCTATCAGGTCACATCCCAAAATAACATTGGGCAGTATTTCAAGTGAAGAAACGAAGGCTTTCAGGGCTGTAGCCAGCCTGGAGTGTGAGATTCTGTGTGAAATAGTTGGACCTGCTCCAGTGCTTTTGATCTGCATGGTAGATGAGCAATAAAATTCATGAAACACGTTGGAAACACGTGAGGAAATTCTCCCTGGCCCTGCTGCTTCCTTGGAACTGGCAGGGCACTGAGTGGGCTGATCCTCACCTCCCATCTCTTAGGAGGTTTATTCTTGGAAGAGAACAAACCCAGGAAAACAGATCTTTCTGTTTCAGAGGCAGTGCTGTAATTCACTGGTCCTCCTAGAAGGTTACCTGTTAGGTGGGCCCTTTTGGGAGGACTAAGAAAACCTGAGTCCTAAAATTCTACAGGCAACCCCCACTAGGGGGAATTGGGGCTGGGATTGATTGAACATTGTCTGTGATAAATATGTTGTGGAAAGCCAAACTTTTTAAGCACATTGAGGTCTGACTCAACATCCAGACATCCGGCTTTTTGTGGAACAAAAGACCTGAAAAACTGGCTTTTCGTAGGGTAGAAAGCAGAGGTGCGCCCTGTGCAGTAAAAGGACATGGAGTTCAGAGCAGTATCTGTTCATGTAGATAGAGGGGGGAGACTTCTTTTGGAGTCTCCCCTTAAAACTCCCCCTCATTTCCCAATAAAAACGTTTACTTGTGATTAGCCACCAGGACTGAAGAGTATGTCTTATATCTTATACTGCTTGTGCGTTGTCATATCTCTCATTCCAGGGTATTGCTACTGGTATTGCATATTTCATATGACCCTGACCATATTGTGCCAGTGGCTTTTCATGCATATGCTCCAGGGTGGTCACAAACTCAGTTTATCCAGTCCTCTCATTGTATAAGTGAGGAAACCGAAGCCTGGTTTGTTGCCAGTTTGCCAAAGGTCACAACTGATAAGTACCAAGAGCTGGGCTTTGGTCTCCTAGCTCAAGGGTGTGATGCTTTTTCTTCAATCTATCTAGTATCAGCATAATGGAGAGCTCTGGGGTTCGGCAGACCTGGAATCAAAATCTGGTTTCTGCCATTTACTTGCTAAATGACTTGGGCATGTAACCCAATCTCTCTGAGCATCAGCTTGCTCATCTTCATCATGTTAATGGTAGAAGTACCTATTTCCAAGAATTGTAGAAAATTAAATAACTCTATATGGTGCCTGGCACATTGTAGATGCTCAAATGGTAGTTATTGTTAATATTAATGTAAATGATCTGTCCCTTCCCGTGCTAACATTTTGGGTCTTAATTTTTTTGTTTGTTTTTAATCAGTTACCTTCATGCTGACCAGTTGCCATCTGATGAAAATGAGAGTTTGAGAGATTGACCTTAAATCAACCAAATGAGAGAGATAAGAATATTAATGCTGCTGCCTTTCCCACTATTATTCATGCCTAGGCATCCCAGTCCACCTGGGGCTGCTGTTGACAGTGTATTATTTAGCACTTTTTCTCCAAGGATCTTAGAGCACTTTACTGAAACTGTCAGCTCTTCTCCAAGTGCCTCTGTGAAGGAAGCCACCACCTGGTCACCACAGATGTCTCCAGGGTCTGAGAGCCCAGCCTCCAGAGCTGCCAGTATTTTCTTTAGGCTCCTGGGATTCCCTAAGCTGGACTAGGACATTTATTTGTGGATCTGTGGAGAGCCTGGTTTTGTATAGAAGGCTGAAGGAGCATCTGTAGGCCCTGCCCTGAGTGTAGTAGTGGTTAGGTGGGTTGTGGTTGGGTTTTTTCTTTTCCCTCAGTTCCACAAAAGGTCTTCAAGAATATACACCAAATTGAACACGGTTCTTCTGTTGAAGGCAGCAGAAGGAGCGCAAAGGAGGACTTTGACTTTACCTATTCTCTGAACTGTTTTTACCATGAGAATGGTGATGTTTTACTTAAAAGACAGAAATGTTCAAGACAATTTTTCAAAGCCATTTGAACAGAGCCAAGTTCTTGTCTTATGGATGAACCTTTGATTCCTATTCTGTTCCAAAACATACTGATTTCTTTTTCATGTTAGCAAGTAGCTTTTATTAGCAGAAGCTGGTGGTTTGATAAGGAATGGAGACTGTAGGAAGGAATGCTAAAGGAACCTACTGATCCCTAAAACAGAGCATTGGCCTGTGGTTTCTGTTACAGACCAGAGATTAACAAGTGGCTTTTGAGGCCATTTCTGGCATACATGGTTGGCTCCTCTCATCATCTTGCTGCCTCTTTGAGTTTATTCTCTTTGGCTCAGATAGCTTAGCCCTCAACATTGCCGTGGAATCCTCCTCTCTTGGGATGAACTCAGGGCTCTTTATAGTTCCAGGTACTTTAGTCCTTTGAAGGGAAGAGGCTCTTTGGTGTTACCTAGAGAAGGGCTTCTTGAATTCCCTTCCACACTGGGACGAATTCTAACTGCATTTTTAAAGATTGCTGTGGTGTACTAGTTCTGCTTCTTATAGGAAAGCTAGCATTTCTGACTTCTCAGCTAGCTAACATTGAGAGCTGGACATAGACACAAATGCATACCTACCTACCTGCCTTGCCTTCGGGGCAAGCTTTTTTCCCATAGAACTCAGCAGAAATGCTTCCAACCTAGTAAAGTAACCAGCTAGTTTGTAGAATGTCCATCCAACCTGTATACTTGGAGGAGAACCTAAAGATGCCCTCTGACCTCCAATGTTATTGTGAAAGTCACCTTGAACTGGTATTTCCAAGGTGAGCTTGTTAGGCCTCTTCAGATGTGTCTCTTTAGGAGAACTCTTTTCTTAACCCAGACCTGAGCCCTTATCCAAAGCTTTCATCCTTTCTTCAAGGTACAGGTATTTTCTAGTCTGGAGTTAATGTGTGGTGTTGAGCCAGTGGTATTGCTAGAGGATGAACATGGAGCCAGTGGGGGTAGGGTTGGGGTACATTTCCTGGGGTGAATATTTTTGGTATTGAGCTCCTGATTGCTAATCTTGGAGTTTATTTACCCAAAGTGAACTCTTTACTGATTATTTCAAGACAGACAAACCCCCAAGTAAATGCCAAGTCCTCATTGAACAACTTAAAACTAGGGGAAAAATGGATTTGCTCAGTTTGGTAAACATTTGTTCATCCTTGTTATGAGCTAGGTGGTAGGAATATAGGCCCAGACCGTCTCGTTTCTGTGCAGTATGTCCCTTATATTTTAAAATACGGTAACTTGGAGAAAGTGAGTCTTTAGTAAATGTAGGTTGTAATAATCTGATAGAGAGGGGAATCTGTAATTATTGCCCAAACTTGTTAACATACTCTTGTGGCTCCTGGTCCTCTCCTGGCAGTGTTTTATAAAGCTTCCTCAGTGGAAAAGAACTGAAGGCTCACTGGAATGCCTCTCTCTTACAACTGTGGAAGTTGAAGCTGGGAAAGAAGATAAAAGTAATAGATCTGCTTCTGGTAGATAGGCCAGAGATCAGCAAACTACAGATTGTGGGCCAGTTACTTGTTTTTATAAATAATCAAATGGATGTGGCTATGTTTCAATAAAACTTTATTATCTGTGACTGCTCTTTTGCACTACAATGGCAGAGTTGAGCAGTTGCAGTTGAAGAGACTGTATGGCTCACAGAGTCTAAAATATTTTCTATCTGGCCCTTAATAGAGAGTTTGCCATATGTAAGCTATAGTATCCTGACAACATAATGTTTGCAGTGTGCTTGCCCTTGATTGTTTAGGAAAATGTTAATCATGTAGTAGGGTTGTTGAAAGAAGAGTCTTTCTGCCTAATATTGCTGATTGAGGTATTGTATGTTTCAGGATCTGTCTGGTTCAATAGACGATCTCCCCATGGGGACAGAAGGAGCTCTGAGCCCTGGAGTGAGCACATCAGGGATTTCCAGCAGCCAAGGAGAGCAGAGTAATCCAGCTCAGTCTCCTTTTTCTCCTCATACCTCTCCTCACCTGCCTGGCATCCGAGGCCCTTCCCCGTCCCCTGTTGGCTCTCCCGCCAGTGTTGCTCAGTCTCGCTCAGGACCACTCTCACCTGCTGCAGTGCCAGGTACCCTCAAGTGCTGGGTTTTTGGGAGAGGGAACGGGGACTGGCTACCAACAATATCAGGGAGCCCCAGCCTTTGCTGGCAGAGAAAGCATCTCTGGTCATGTCTGCAAAGTTTCCCTTTAGCATTTGAAGAAGGGAAATGGGAGCCCTTTGTTGGAGCTCTCTGTGTATGTGGTACTGGGAGGTGCTTGGCTTTCCCAGGCGACATTTCCAGCTCTGAACCGACCTCCTAGCTAGAATTCCACACTTAGCCATGATTGGCTTACTTTCTCTGTCTGGAGCAGGCAACCAGATGCCACCTCGGCCACCCAGTGGCCAGTCGGACAGCATCATGCATCCTTCCATGAATCAATCAAGCATTGCCCAAGATCGAGGTAAGAGCCTGGGCTTTGAGGGAGGGGGTGGAGGGCTAAGGCTAACACTTGAGTACCCCCTGTCAGTAGCTTTTGGAGACCTATATGGCCATGAAGCTTAATACAATCAGAACAATAGCTGTGAAGTTAAGAGTGGGCTTAGTCATGTTGTGACTCCAGAACCGTGTTCCCCCCAGTCATTCTTTGTTTCTCCGTGTTTGTGTTTTGATGGATTAACCTCTACATACATTGTGCCTAATTTGGTCAGCAAGTGCTAAAACTCAGCATCGAATCTTTACTCTTTTAACCTTGCACCATTTTATTTTTCTGTAATCGCTATGTGTCTTTTTAAACCCCCATTTAGTAGAAAGAGTTGGCATGATCTGGTTAATGGTTATGTCACTTTGGAGGGTCCCTAAGATGGCACATAATTATATAGCCAGGAAGGTAGACTTCGTTCAGTTAGTTGCTAAATAAAATGTAGATGGTGAAGTCCTAGGATAAGGGGGAGCATTTGTTCCCATTGTACCGAGGTAATAACTAACATACATGGGCACTACCCACAAATAGGTTACATGCAGAGGAACCCCCAGATGCCCCAGTACAGTTCCCCCCAGCCCGGCTCGGCCTTATCTCCACGTCAGCCTTCTGGAGGACAGATGCACACAGGCATGGGCTCCTACCAGCAGAACTCCATGGGGAGCTATGGTCCCCAGGGGAGTCAGTATGGCCCACAGGGTGAGTATACTACCCAGTTAGGAGTATATAGAGATGAGACAAGAAAACAGTTCCTTGTCTGATATGCTGCTGTCTGGGGTGTAAAGAGTTGGATTGCTCTTTGCCTTTAATTCACCAAAGCCAGGCCCTAAATTATCATGGGAAAGTTCTTGAATATCCCCGAGCCTCTGTTTCATCTATAAAATGGGGATAAGATATTTTTTAGCGCAAGACTGAGTACAGACACTCAATAAATGGTTATTATTGGTTCTCATACTTGTTTTTAGTAAATTAGCCCTAATAGAATGGATCTTTCTTCAAAATTAGCCCTAGACAAACTAAAGTTAAATGTCGTTCATGTAGCCTGGGAGAGAAGGCAGGAATGTAAAAAGGAAATAATTCCAGAAATACTTGAACCTGGATAGCAGCAAAGCCAACCTTGCCTGCCAGCCAGTCTTTCTCTGTGCTGTCTTTAAGATGAAGGGACAACTGAGGCCTATCTTTATATGCATTTGCCCTCCCTTTTACTTTTTTTTAAAATGGGGTAAAGGCTACCATGAAGTTGGTCTCTTTCCAGACCAAATCTTGAATAATTCCCATTGTTTACCATCTTTGGAGTTTTAGAGATTGAGCAATATTAGTGAGTCGCTAACCAAGTCTCTGTCATCTTTCCTTCTTTGTCTCCCAGGAGGCTACCCCAGGCAGCCAAACTACAATGCCTTGCCCAATGCTAACTACCCCAGTGCAGGCATGGCCGGAAGCATGAACCCTATGGGTGCTGGAGGTCAGATGCATGGGCAGCCTGGCATCCCACCTTATGGCACACTCCCTCCAGGGAGAATGAGTCATGCCTCCATGGGCAACCGGCCTTATGGCCCTAACATGGCCAATATGCCGCCTCAGGTTGGGTCAGGGATGTGTCCCCCACCAGGGGGCATGAACCGGAAAACTCAAGAAACTGCTGTCGCCATGCATGTTGCTGCCAACTCTATCCAAAACAGGTAAGACCTGGGAAGTGAAGAGAGGGTGTCAGTGCAAGGAAATAAATTGTAGAGCCATTCAGGTTATTGAGATACTTCTGTACCTAAATCATGTCAATTTGGTAAATACGCATTTTATAGAGACCTCTTTAAAAACTAGGTTTTCTGACAGTGAAAAACACAACAAAAGTTCTGATTCTTTTTACTCCTCAGCCAAGGGTATTTTTTTCCACTGATTTTTAGAGACTGGAAAGGAGGAGGAGAGGAAGAAAGAGGGAGAGAAACATCAATGTAAGAGAGAGACATCTATTTGTTGCCTCCTGTGCGAGCCCCAACATTGGGGGAGGGCGTGTTGAACTGGAGGCCCTTCAGTGCATGGACCCATGCTCTATCCACGGAGCCACACCAGCCAGAGCAAAAATTCTTAAACATCCTAGTTTGGTATCAAGTTTCACATGACCAGATAGCATATGTAATGAACTTTATAAAGCATGGGTTATTTTGATTAGTAAAAATAAGTCTTGCCCTAGCCAATTTGGCTCAGTGGTTAGAGCATCGGCCTGTGGAATGAAGGGTGTCAGGTTCAATTCCAGACAAGGGCAGCATGTACCTTGGTTGCAGGCTCAATCCCCATCTCCAGCCATTTGGGGCATGTGCAGGAGGCAAACAATTGGTGTGTCTCTCACACTGATGTTTCTCTCTCCCTCCCTTCCACTCTCTCTGAAAAGCAATGGAAAAAAATCCTTGGGTGAGGATTAAAAAAAAATAAGTCTTCAGAGTTTCTTCATTTCTTCTGTCAATGTAGTTTCTTAGTTTCCAGAAGGATTTGTAATAATACACATGACTTGTATCTGTGGTGTGAGAAATAAAGGATGGTAAGAGTTGTGATTTGCTATTTCTCCTACTGTTCTTTGTGGTCCTGTGCATTTGACCTGGTGCTAAAGTGTGGAAGGTTCATGTGATTTGGTTTAATGACTTGAAGATTCATCTCTTCTTCCTTGGCCACGGTCCTCAGTGAATATGATTCCTCTGTTTTTGAAGGCTCTGTTCCTGTACTCCATTATTGGTGCCTATAGTTCTTAAAACGACTAGTCTTATTGGGATGTTATGAACCATGGTAGAATAGGGTGATTGTAACTGTAAAAAGGTGGGTTTGGTTAGTACTTCAGAATGATGAAAGCACAAAGTTTGTAGTAGGCTCATTAAGAAAGAATGCAAAGCCTTCCCTCCTCCCCCCAGGTGCTTTACTGTTAAGGGTTCCAGTTTGGTTGGGGTTTGATGTGACAAATTGAGCAATTTTGGCATAGAGAGGGCTCTTAAGTGGAAACACGCTTGACTTTGAAGGTGCCTTAGAGGCTGGCAGTACTTAAAGAGACAGGGTAGGACTTCATTCTTCAAGGAGTGTTTCCTTTAAAATTGAGCTATAGTTTCCTATTTGGGGCTTGAACCCTCTTAGAGCCTTTTGTGGGAGGCGGAGGATAAAAATATCTAGGTGAGGGGTGGAGAGGGTCAGTGGGGAGAAAAAGGGGACATCTATAATACTTTCAACAATAAAGATAATTTTTAAAAATATAAATACATTAATATATGCGCCAGGTAGTGTGTGGTTGTGGTTTGGGGGACCCATACACTTTTTCCTTGTGACTAGATGATCTTGTCTCACACAGCCCTATTTAGCTCAAGTCCAAATCTGAAAGCTTAGTGTCTCTAACTCTTGTGTGTCTGTCTGCCTTTTTCCATCTTCTTTTTCAGGCCACCAGGCTACCCCAATATGAATCAAGGGGGCATAATGGGAACTGGACCTCCCTATGGACAAGGGATTAATAGTATGGCTGGCATGATCAACCCTCAGGGACCCCCATATCCAATGGGTGGAACCATGGCCAACAATTCAGCAGGTAAGTCCTAGTCATTGCTCACCCCAGGGATTTTTTCCAGAGTGATCCTCATGTCACAAACCTATTAAAGTTAAGAATTTTTTTCTCTTTTATAGGGATGGCAGCCAGCCCAGAGATGATGGGCCTTGGGGATGTCAAGTTAACTCCAGCCACCAAAATGAACAACAAGGCTGATGGGACACCCAAAACAGAATCCAAATCCAAAGTAATGATTTATATCTTTACTCTTCCCTACTTTCTGTCCATCCTTTCTAGTGATAGAAAGGAAAAAGAAGAGAGTGATTAGACTCTAGCCTTTTACGGCATCAACTAGATTGCCTCAGAAAAGGTTGTTTCCTCTTATCATGAAGGATCCCAGGATAATAGCTCATTTAATTAGTTTTGAATTAGTCTGTGGGGTTCTAATGTAAAAAAACATAATGTCCATTTGTTACAGAGGAAATGCCAGACCTGCAATGTAAAATTCTCTGAAACCGTTTCCCCTCTCCTTGTGCATTGATAGATGGTATGTGCCATAGGCAACTAATTGCTCTTCTCTTCCTGGACTATACTAAGAGCAGCAGGAGTGGTTGGTGCCATATATCTATAAAGGGAAAGGGGGAGATGAGGCAGGTGGAGTTTGGATCTTTGGCCTCCCTGTAGGTTAGTACTGAGTGTGCTGTCTTTTGGGCCATGTGGCAACCTGGGGATCTGGTAAGCGTTTGAGCCATTTGAAACATTTCTGCCCTTTGTCATACCTCATTTTCCCTATTTTACAAAGTAGGAGAAATTAAAAAATCATAGCTGCCACTTTCTGTGGATCTTTACCTCTGACTCCCAGACCCTATTAGCCATCCTCCTGTCTTGGACAGAATACTGTCCAAAGCCTTTCAAGCATTTGGGAGACCCTTCCTTTCTTTGAGAGTAGGTAGAGTTTTTGTTTTTTCATTTAGTCCATCCCATTGTCTCAAGATCATGTTTTGAGTTTCTTGAGTTCTCTGAAACAGTCTATAAAAGTGTGTCTAAGCCCCTGCCAGAGGCTAAGTTGGTTGGAGCCTCATACCGCACACCAAAAAGGTTGTGGGTTTGATCCCCAGTGAAGACGCATACAGGAGGCAGCCAGAGAGTTTCTCTCTTTCTCTCTCTGCCCTTCCAACTCTCTCTCTGCCCCTCCTTCCCTTCCCCCTTCCTCTCTCCCTTTCCCTTTCCCTTCTCTTCCTCTCTTTCTAAAAATCAATAAAAACAGATAACGACTTAAAAAAAAAAGTGTGTCCAGTCACCTGGGTAAGTAGTGTGGTAGTGGTAGTGACATTGATGTCAGCCCTGCTACCTGAAAACTGTGAAATCTTAGGCATGGCCTCCTTGTGCCTACTTCCTTAGCTTTTAAGAGGAGGATAACTTATAATGCCTAATATGTAAAGGCATCCAGCACAGCACCTAATGTGTAATATGCAGTTTAGTCAGAATTTTCCTTCTTTTACAGGAAGGTCTAGCTCCCTTTTAGCCTTTCACCCTTACGAAGGTAGGGCAGGTGTTAGTAACCACCCCAGAATAAGAAGCTTTATCACTGCCCTAATTAAGGGACTTCTAAGACCCTTAGCATAGGCTTTGACTCTAACCAGTTCCTAAGAATCTTTACCTGCCCCTTTCAGAAATCCAGTTCTTCTACTACAACCAATGAGAAGATCACCAAGTTGTATGAGCTGGGTGGTGAGCCTGAGAGGAAGATGTGGGTGGACCGTTACCTGGCCTTCACAGAGGAGAAGGCAATGGGCATGACAAATCTGCCTGCTGTGGGTAGGAAACCTCTGGACCTCTATCGCCTCTATGTGTCTGTGAAGGAGATTGGTGGATTGACTCAGGTGAGTGCCTGGCACTTGTCTTCCCCTGTGGTTTGAACAAACCTCTCAAGGTACTCGGTGGCTTTACCTGGCTTTATCCTCTCCTACTCTCTTGAGTCACATACTGACAGACCTGGAGCACAGATTTCTAGAAGATACGGCTTCCAAAAGGCTGGAACCTTGCTGGAGAGGATAAAGTACTAGCATTACATTTACCGTATGTATAGGGTCCCTCCGGGTTGCAAAGACAGAAAGCCTGTGGGGCAATTATGATTCCATGGGAGAGTCGGAGAGATAGGCCTGGTTTTGAATCCTGTCTTAGCCACCTATGTGTGACCTTAACAAAGGTTCATAACCACTCTGAGCTCTAACATTTCTTATTTGTAAAGTAAGGGATAGTGTACCCTGCTAGACTGTCAAAAGCCAAAAATAAAAAAGCTTTCAGCAAGATTTCTGCCACATAAATTGGTCTGCAAGATGGTATGGGGCAGCCAGAGTAGTTCCTGACCCTTTCCAGGAAACTCCCCAGTAGAGATGGGATTTCAGGAGCTATTTAATAGAAATTATTTGTGAATGGAGAAGTAGGTGGGGAAATTCTGTCTGTATGGAAGACTGAGGTGAATGAATTCTGCTGCAAGCCTCTGACCTGAACACCACCCTGAGCTGTGCCTCTGCCCTGATACCTCCCAGCTTCGTTTTACACTCAGCCCAAGAGGCAAACTGCTGAGGCCATGCTGACAGCACACTGTGGTTTGCAAACTTTCCTCCTATGTGTGTTCTGTAGTCATCAGACCAGGAGCCTGCTGTTGGTTCTGAGTTTGTGGCTGAGCTCAGGGGAGGCGTGGCTGGGAGGAATGTATTCCAAACCTTCTAAATCAGAAGAGGAAAACAGCTGTCACCAGCAGAAAAGAAAGTGATTGGAATGAAGCCAACCAGCAGTCAGTTATGAATTCCTTCTCCCTTCAGGCTTTATTTCCCTCCCCCACAAAGGAAAACAAAACAAAACAAGACACGTGTGCACCGCCACATAAGTGGCGTGGGAAGCAAAGCCACAGAGGCTTCTGAAGTGACCCTGGGCTTATCCCTGCCGTTCTCCTTAGTGCTAGTTCTCACACACAGGGCTCTCCTGCCTGTAAGGAAAGGGTATTGGGTTAGATTTGGCATACTTTTAATTGAGTGGGCTTCTGAAAAGATGCGGTACAGAGAGAGTCCTAAAGCCTAGGCCTGTTTTAGTTTGCAAAAGGATGCCAACCTTTTAGATGCTATGATGTAATTGAACTCTAAAGACAGTGCAGAGGAGAAAGGACACTGTTATAAGTTAGTTTGTGGAGGCTCCAGGAAGGTAAAAGATGAGTCCTGAGCTTTTCTGAAGGATTTGTAGGGTTTAGGTAGTGGGAGGCGCCATTCCAGTTGACTGGCCCAGGTGGCCTAGAGATGGGAAGAGTCTGGAATGTACCCTGCCAACACCACCTCCAGCCTTCAAGGCTCAGCTCACATGTTACCTTCTCCAGGAGTTTTCCTGGTCACCTTTCCTCCATCTAGGTTCTTTTCTTTGTGTCCTTGTCATTCTTCTCTTTGGTATCACTGGTACCACATCAACAGGTATCACGCCGTAATGAATTTCCTTTGTGAATTGGGGCTGGAAAGCCAGTGTTCCCAACCCTTGAGAGAGAGGCTTACCACATGGTGGGCAAATAAGCATAGAATACATGAAGAAGGAGACCTGCCTGGCTAAGAGCAGAAAGAGTAACTAAAGGGACTGGGAATGGTGTGTCCAGAAGCTGAGGAAAGGAGGCAAGACTGTAGGCTGGCTTCTGGAAAGGCACAAAAGAAGTCACAGGGCCTTGAGCACCTGGGCAGTCAGGACAGTGACTGGTGAGGGAAAGGAGCTTATAGTTATATCTCACTGAGATGCAGGGGAGTAGTGGCACAATAATGTCAAATTTGCAAGGGTTTGTGAAAACCCCCAGTTTGACAAAGTAAGTCAAGCAGAGTGGGTACCGCTATTACCACACATCTCCATTTTATAAAATGTTAATTTTTAAAAAATAAATTTTTATTGATTTCAGAGAGAGGAAGGGAGAGCGAGAGAGTCATTGATTGGCTACCTACCTGCATGCCCCTTCCTGGGGATCAAGCCCACAACCCGGGCATGTGCCCTGCCCAAAAAATCGAACCACGGTCTCCTGGATTATAGGTTGATGCTCAATCGCTGAGCCACCGCCGGCTGGCAAAATGTTAATTTTTATTGATGCATTTAAAACAGGATTTGGATCTGGTGGTGACTTGCACATAATTTTTCAGCAATGCACATGTGTACAAACCATACCTTCTAAATTCTGTTCTAACAGTGATGTGAAATTTGCCCTATTATAATTGCCATGTCTGATAGTTGCAGTGATCTGTGGATAGAGCCTGCTGAGGGTAGAGGAAAGCCAGCCATGAATTTAATGTTTATTGTGGACTGTCCACCAAGTGGAGTTAACGTGTTTGGTTAGCTGAGAATTGTGATTCCACAAGAGATGGGTACCTGGTAGCCTGATGGGTTTTGGGATTGTGGGCAAGAAGATGTACCCTGGCTCTTCTGGTTGGTTGTGCAGGTCAACAAGAACAAAAAATGGCGGGAACTTGCGACCAACCTCAATGTCGGCACCTCAAGCAGTGCTGCCAGCTCCTTGAAAAAGCAGTATATCCAGTGTCTCTATGCCTTTGAGTGCAAGATTGAACGGGGAGAAGACCCTCCCCCAGACATCTTCGCAGCTGCTGATTCCAAGAAGTCCCAGCCCAAGATCCAGCCTCCTTCTCCAGGTAGGGATTGGGTGAGCTCCACCAAGGCTCACCCTTTAGTGGTAGTATTCAAGTGTCTAATCCCCTTTTTCACCAGTGCCTGCCTTGTTCACCAGGGATGTATGCTCTGCCCTGCCCTATCACAGGACGTAATAGATTGGCAGACTAAAAAGAGCAGGCAGTGGTGACTCCCTTGGGAAGTAGTCTGCAGCAGCCCTTAAGTTTTCATTTTCATTGTGTACCTGGCACCTTGCCAAATGTTTATAAACTAGTGAGTGGGAGGGATTGTCAGAGGAGTGGGGAAATCTGACAAATAGCAGTGAAGCAAGACCATCTGGGAGCTTTGGCCCATTGATGTCAGTGCCTTAGAATGCAGCTCAGACTACAGCCCTGAATTCCCCAGGGAGCTCAGATGGTAATGAATGGGAAGGAAGTGGTGGGGAGAGGATATGAATGGAACTCTAATGGGAGTGCCTCTGCCCACTCTCCTTTCTGAAAGGAGGCTGAGGCCTGGGCAAGCATGGGAAGGCCAGGACTCCTAGAAGGTTGGTGTAAACACATGTGCTCTGGTGTTGACCTCCGAGGGTGTAATGAGTGACTGAGATGACTCATCAGCTGGGGAGGCCCAAGCAGTGGGATATCTGCTTCTGGGATGGGTAACTAATGGAAACATTAATTACCGGTAGTTCTGTGCTCATCAGCTTAGAGGAACATTTGAACCTGAGTGGTGACAGCGCTAGATGCTTGAGAAGAGGAGCTCCTAGACTCCTCAAACCAGCAATGTGCACTGCTGGTTTGGGGCCTCCTGCCCATGATTCCAGGGGCATTGACTGGAAGGTTGTGCACCAGCATTACATGTTAGTTAGAGTCCTTGGGGGAAGTAAAGTAGTCAAGGAAGCTGGCAGAGACTCAAGGAATCAACAGCATGATGACATCGCCATACCACTCCTATTCTCCAAATGTGAAACAGTAAGGATCATGATAAGAGCCCTCAGATTCCCTGACCTGGCCTTGAGATTCCCTGCAGAGAAAGGTGATTTAGGCTTTAAAGAACCCTAGCTTTAGCCTTATAACAATCTTTTCTGAAGAGATCCCAGGATCTGTGAGAGTTAAATTCTTTCCTGCTCACCCTGCATCTCTGTCCACAGCTGGATCAGGGTCTATGCAGGGGCCACAGACACCTCAGTCAACCAGCAGTTCCATGGCAGAAGGGGGAGACCTGAAGCCACCAACTCCAGCATCCACACCACATAGTCAGATACCCCCCTTGCCAGGCATGAGGTAAGGCCACAAGCAGGGCAGGTGGTTTGGGGGACTCTGGGCAGAAGAACATGAGCTCCTATGCCGCCTGGTGTGGTCCCTGCTCTGCTGCCCCCCAGTGACTCCCATGTGTCCTTTATTATCAGAGGAATTGCTTTATTTGGGGATTAATGGACTTTTCTTGCTCTGGAACAGAAGCAATTCAGTCGGGATCCAGGATGCATTTCCTGATGGAAGTGACCCCACATTCCAGAAACGGAATTCCATGACTCCAAACCCTGGGTACCAGCCCAGTATGAATACCTCTGACATGATGGGGCGTATGTCCTACGAGCCAAATAAGGATCCTTATGGCAGCATGAGGAAAGGTGACCAGTTGCTGTTGACCTTGTACTTTTGAGGACAGAGCCAGGGAAGTGGGGTGATAGCTTGAGAATGACTCAGGGTTCTTGTCGAGCCATCCTCTGAGATAAGGCATTTTCAGATCTAACTACCACTCTTCATCCCTGCCTCCTTGTCTTCCTCTCCCTAGTCTCATGTTGTTACCCCTTAACACGTACATGTTCTTTGCTGATTGGGGTCTCTTTAGATCTATGTTTTAAATCTGTCAGGAAAACAAAAGGAATAAACTTGAGTTCTGGAGAGGGCATGGGTCTTTGAGGCAAGCAAGGTGTAGATGGCTAGGCTTGCTCACCTACCAGTTTGCTCACTGCCTGCCTTTCTACACCCAGCTCCAGGGAGTGATCCCTTCATGTCCTCAGGGCAGGGCCCCAACAGCGGGATGGGGGACCCCTACAGCCGAGCTGCCGGCCCTGGGCTGGCAAATGTGGCAATGGGACCACGACAGCACTATCCTTATGGAGGTCCTTATGACAGAGTGAGGTAAGCATGCCCCCACTCCTATCTGACCCCAGAACTCCACAGCTATAATGGACTCAATATGCTTCTTCAATTTTGTTTAGGACTGAGCCTGCAATAGGACCCGAGGGAAACATGGGGAGCACTGGAGCCCCACAGCCGAATCTCATGCCTTCCAACCCAGACTCGGGGATGTATTCTCCTAGTCGCTACCCCCCTCAGCAGCAGCAACAGCAGCAACGGTGAGTGAAACCTGGTCTCAGTGCCACTATGCCTCTAGCTTTGCCATTTCCCACTCTGATCCTGTTTTTCTCCCTCCTGCAGACATGATTCCTATGGCAATCAGTTCTCCACTCAAGGCAACCCTTCCGGCAGCCCCTTCCCCAGCCAGCAGACCACAATGTATCAGCAACAGCAGCAGGTGAGGAGAGTGTCAGGGTGGACTGACTGACACACAGAGAGCCAGTTGGAAAACTAAGGTGGAAAGTCTAAGAAGCTCACTTTAGATACTTTGGTGGTCTTCTCCCACCCAGATAGCCAGCTCTGCCTGAAGAGCCAAGCCCCCACTCTTCTCTGTTTGGAGTCCCGTCCAGTTTCTAGTTCTCCAAAGGGGCGAGAAACAGGACTGATTTTGATGTTTGAACTTTTCTTTGCTTTTCTACTTAGAGCAAGGGAGACCCAGAGGGAAATAGAGAATGATTCTTGCTTTCAGAGATAATTTGTAAAGATCGTTCTCTTGGAAGTCTGTGTCTTCTAGAGGGGCAGAAGCAAGTCCAGTGAGTGTCTGGTGTAGCCATCTTGGGAGCTGTGGTTCTTTTGTGCAAAGTATTAACTTCCCCTCTGATTGTCCCTGTCTTAGAATTACAAGCGGCCGATGGATAGCACATATGGCCCTACTGCCAAGCGGCACGAAGGGGAAATGTACAGTGTGCCATACAGCACGGGGCAGGGGCAGCCCCAGCAGCAGCAGTTGCCCCCAGCCCAGCCCCAGCCTGCCAGCCAACAACAAGCTGCCCAGCCTTCCCCACAGCAAGATGTGTACAACCAGTATGGCAACGCGTATCCTGCCACTGCCGCCGCTGCTACTGAGCGCCGACCAGCAAGTGGCCCCCAGAACCAGTTTCCATTCCAGTTTGGCCGAGACCGTGTCTCAGCACCCCCTGGCTCCAGTGCCCAGCAGAACATGCCACCACAAATGATGGGTGGCCCCATACAGGCATCCGCTGAGGTTGCTCAGCAAGGCACCATGTGGCAAGGGCGTAATGACATGACCTACAATTACGCCAACAGGCAGAGCACAGGCTCTGCCCCCCAGGGCCCCGCCTATCATGGTGTGAACCGAACAGATGAAATGCTGCATACGGATCAGAGGGCCAACCATGAAGGCTCATGGCCTTCCCATGGCACACGCCAGCCCCCATATGGTCCCTCTGCCCCCGTACCCCCCATGACAAGGCCCCCTCCTTCCAACTACCAGCCCCCACCAAGCATGCAGAATCACATTCCTCAGGTATCCAGCCCTGCTCCCCTGCCCCGGCCAATGGAGAACCGCACCTCTCCTAGCAAGTCTCCATTCCTGCACTCTGGGATGAAGATGCAAAAGGCAGGGCCCCCCGTACCTGCCTCTCACATAGCACCTGCCCCTGTGCAGCCCCCCATGATTCGGCGGGACATCACCTTCCCACCTGGCTCTGTTGAAGCCACACAGCCTATTTTGAAGCAGAGGAGGCGACTCACCATGAAAGACATCGGTAAGGAGACCTCCCTGATTGGATTGTGTAATCTGCCCTTTTCCATCTTGTCCATTGCTCTCTCTCCATCCTGATATTCTAGATGAGGTTAAATCTGGTCATGTTGACTAAAACAGAACCAAAGAACTTTGGGTAAGGAAGAAATCAGCTGATTTCAGGCTTTTACTTAAAGGAATTGCTATGCAGTGATGTCCTAAGAGGACCTAGAAGCCATGAGGGGCAGAAGGTATTATCTCCCAGATAGGAACTGCCTCCGTTTGTTATCTTCATACTAGCCTGACTGCTGGGCCAGCCCTGGGCTTGGTGGATGGATGACATGGAGGTTTTATTTCAGGAACTCCGGAGGCATGGCGGGTAATGATGTCCCTCAAGTCTGGGCTGCTGGCAGAGAGCACATGGGCATTAGACACCATTAACATCCTGCTGTATGATGACAATAGCATCATGACCTTCAACCTCAGTCAGGTGAGTACAGGTGCCTAGGGAAGGTTGGAAGTTTGGGAGGGCCTGGGATCTTCTTGAAGTCGATGGTGCTAAGTGATACAGGGAATTAAGCTATCCCCAGTCAACATGGCCTCCTCCCTCTCGCTCCCCCTCTAATATCTTCCATGCCAATACTTTGCCACTGGCCATGGACTCAGAATACTGAGAACAATAAATAATCTGTGTAAGATACCAGGATTGACTTCAAAGGGAATTTGAGAGAACTCTTTGGTATTGGTAAGAAATGCAGATTCTGTTGATGTCAGCAAGGACACCATGTTTTCTAGACTGCTAAGAACGTATGATCTTCATCAATGAGCAGAATACTTCCTTTATTCTCTTTTTTATTTCATCTACTCTGAATAGAAGAGATTTTTGTTGATCCCATTTTCCTAAGGTGTAGAATGGGAATAGGGGTGAGGGCCAATGGAGGTTAATGATCTTGCAGAGGTGATTCTCCAGACCTTCTCCACAGGATGTGCACCTTGCGTTTTCCCAGTAACTGGGCAGAATTTCTGTTGCAGCGTCCTACTCTTTTGATCACCCTTAGTACCTACCAACCAACCTGTCTATCAAGGAGCTAAGGGGGCATTGTTACTAATAGTTACCGTTTATTGTGCCCTCACTTCATGCCAGGTTCTTCCTATTTTCTTTCATGTCATACAACGGTCTTCTGAGGCAGACGTGGCCACTTAGAGATGAGTATATAGGCTCAGAATCTTATCTTTGCCTAGGTTCACACAGCTATTAATAGAGTCTGATTCTAAAACCTGACTTTATGTCTATTGCATAATTTTGCCTCCTATGAAAAAGTAAAGGAACGAATATTGATTGGACAACTTCCATATTCCAGACATTTTATATATTTCATTTAGACCTTGGAACAACCCTATAAAGTTTAGGAATTTCCAGAAAGATGGAAAAACTACAGCTTAGAAAGTTAAATCACACAACTAGGTCCTGGAAGAGCCAGAATTCAAACCTAGATCTTCCTATAAAGCCCTTATTTTTTTCATGCTGCTATACTGTTCCACCAGAAATTGATCTGATTGGAGATTATTGTTTTCTTCTAGAGATAAATGGCCTATACAGGATCCAAGCAGGAGTGTGGGTCTCCCTAGCACCAGCTTGGACCAATGTTTGCCTAACCAAAGCCTCATCCCATTCATTATGTTGCATGTTTCATGGAGTGCCAGCTTCCTAGAATGTTGGGGAGCTTGGAGAGAAGAGAGCAGATGAACATCTGTCTAAACTGCATTCCCTCTCTTGCTCATGTTTCAAGGGGTCATCCCACCATGCCTAGACTGGGGTTCCACTTGGCAGTGGGATATAGTATTTTAAGAGGGACAGTAACAATGACCAACAGGTAGGAAATTGGGCCTGGTGGAGAACAGCAGAAATTGGTTGGGAAAGAGGATGTTGAGAGATGGTAGCACTGGTAGTGAGGTGCAGAGCCGTGGGTCAACATTTTTATCCTGAGGCAGGCTCGCGTGAAGGTAAGTTGGTTGGGCAGAAGGAAGAACTTTGTGCCTGTCATGGGAGAGACTAAAGAGCCTTTGGGAAAGAAGCACTTCTGCCTTTCCCAGTGCTACAGATGGTCTGACCTGGAAGGAAAGCGGGGAGATTAGATAGAAGACCCTTGGAGGTCTCTCAAATCAAAGATTCTTATCTTAGCCCACTTTTGTCCCTTAATTTGTTTCCTGTTCTTCCTTTTTTAGCTCCCAGGGTTGCTAGAGCTCCTTGTGGAATATTTCCGACGTTGCCTGATCGAGATCTTTGGAATTTTAAAGGAGTATGAGGTGGGTGACCCAGGGCAGAGAACACTACTGGACCCTGGGAGATTCAGCAAGGTGTCTAGTCCAGCCCCTGTGGAGGAGGAAGAGGAGGAGGAGGAAGAGGAGGAAGACCTTCTAGATCCTAAACTAGAGGACAAAGAAGAGGAGGAAGTAGTTGAAAATGATGAGGAGATGGCCTTTTCAGGAAAGGACAAGGCAGCCTCAGAGAATAGTGAGGAGAAACTTATTAGTAAGTTTGACAAGCTTCCAGTAAAGATCGTACAGAAGAATGACCCGTTTGTGGTGGACTGCTCAGATAAGCTTGGGCGTGTGCAGGAGTTTGACAGTGGCCTGCTGCACTGGCGGATTGGTGGGGGGGACACCACTGAGCATATTCAGACCCACTTTGAGAGCAAGACAGAGCTGCTGCCTACCCGGCCTCATGTGCCCCGCCTACCAGTCACCCGGAAACATGTCACAGCAGCAGAGGGTACATCAGGGACAACAGAACAGAAGGGTGCCCCACCTGATGGCCCTCCAGAAAAACGGATCACAGCTACTATGGATGATATGTTGTCCACACGGTCTAGTACATTGACTGAGGAGGGAGCTAAGAGTGCAGAGGCTACCAAGGAGAGCAGCAAGTTTCCATTTGGCATCAGCCCAGCACAGAGCCACCGGAACATCAAGATCCTAGAGGATGAACCCCACAGTAAAGATGAGACCCCACTGTGTACCCTTCTGGACTGGCAGGATTCCCTTGCCAAGCGCTGCGTCTGTGTCTCCAATACCATCCGAAGCCTGTCATTTGTGCCAGGTAACGACTTTGAGATGTCCAAACACCCAGGGCTGCTGCTGATCCTCGGCAAGCTGATCCTTCTACACCATAAGCATCCAGAACGGAAGCAGGCACCACTGACTTATGAGAAGGAGGAGGAGCAGGACCAAGGGGTGAGCTGCAACAAAGTGGAGTGGTGGTGGGACTGCTTGGAGATGCTCCGGGAAAACACCCTGGTCACGCTAGCCAACATCTCGGGGCAGTTGGACCTCTCCCCGTACCCCGAGAGCATTTGCCTGCCTGTCCTGGATGGACTCCTACATTGGGCAGTCTGCCCTTCAGCTGAAGCCCAGGACCCCTTCTCCACCCTGGGCCCCAACGCCGTCCTCTCCCCTCAGAGACTGGTCTTGGAAACCCTCAGCAAACTCAGCATCCAGGACAACAATGTGGACCTGATCCTGGCCACGCCCCCCTTCAGCCGCCTGGAGAAGTTGTATAGCACCATGGTGCGCTTCCTCAGTGACCGAAAGAACCCGGTCTGCCGGGAGATGGCTGTGGTACTGCTGGCCAACCTGGCACAGGGAGACAGCCTGGCAGCCCGTGCCATCGCAGTGCAGAAGGGCAGCATCGGCAACCTCCTGGGCTTCCTGGAGGATAGCCTTGCTGCCACACAGTTCCAACAGAGCCAGGCTAGCCTGCTCCACATGCAGAACCCGCCCTTTGAGCCAACTAGTGTGGACATGATGCGGCGGGCTGCCCGTGCACTGCTGGCCCTGGCCAAGGTGGACGAGAACCACTCAGAGTTCACATTGTATGAGTCACGGCTGTTGGACATCTCAGTATCACCATTGATGAACTCATTGGTTTCACAAGTCATTTGTGATGTACTGTTTTTGATTGGCCAGTCATGACAGCCGTGGGACACCTCCCTCCCTGTGTGTGTGTGCGTGTGTGGAGAACTTAGAAACTGACTGTTGCCCTTTATTTATGCAAAACCACCTCAGAATCCAGTTTACCCTGTGCTGTCCAGCTATTCCCTTGGGAAAAAAGTCCCTCCTATTCCTTTCCTCTCAGCTTCCCTCACCTCTACCTTTCTGTTCCTTGTCCTCACCTTACTCCCCTCAGGACCCTACCCTATTTGAAAAGACAAAGCTCTGCCTACATAGAAGACTTTTTTATTTTAACCAAAGTTACTGTTGTTTACAGTGAGTTTGGGGAAAAAAAAATAAAAATAAAAATGGCTTTCCCGGTTCTTGCATCAACGGGATGCCACATTTCATAACTGTTTTTAATGGTAAAAAAAAAAAAAAGGAAAAAATACAAAAAAAAACCCTCTGAAGGACAAAAAAGGTGACTGCTGAACTGTGTGTGGTTTATTGTTGTACATTCACAATCTTGCAGGAGCCAAGAAGTTCGAAGTTGTGGACAGATCCTGTTCACTGGAGAGGCCTGTGCAGTAGAGTGTAGACCCTTTCATGTACTGTACTGTACACCTGATACTGTAAACATACTGTAATAATAATGTCTCACATGGAAACAAGAGAAAACGCTGGGTCAGCAGCAAGCTGTAGTTTTTAAAAATGTTTTTAGTTAAACGTTGAGGAGAAAAAAAAAAGGCTTTTCCCCCAAAGTATCATGTGTGAACCTACAACACCCTGACCTCTTTCTCTCCTCCTTGATTGTATGAATAACCCTGAGATCACCTCTTAGAACTGGTTTTAACCTTTAGCTGCAGCCACTGTGCTGCCACGTGTGTATATATATGACGTTGTACATTGCACATACCCTTGGGTCCCCACAGTTTGGTCCCCCTCCCAGCTACCCCTTTATAGTATGACGAGTTAACAAGTTGGTGACCTGCACAAAGCGAGACATAGCTATTTAATCTCTTGCCAGACATCGCCCCTCTTCTTGCGATGCTGTACAGGTCTCTGTAAAAAGTCCTTGCTGTCTCAGCAGCCAATCAACTTATAGTTTATTTTTTTCTGGGTTTTTGTTTTGTTTTGTTTTCTTTCTAATCGAGGTGTGAAAAAGTTCTAGGTTCAGTTGAAGTTCCTGATGAAGAAACACAATTGAGATTTTTTCAGTGATAAAATCTGCATATTTGTATTTCAAACAATGTAGCTAAAACTTGATGTAAATTCCTCCTTTTTTCCTTTTTTGGCTTAATGAATATCATTTATTCAGTATGAAATCTTTATACTATATGTTCCACGTGTTAAGAATAAATGTACATTAAATCTTGGTAAGACGTTTGTGAGGCTTTTTGCTGTTTTCAAACTATTTAAAATCTTGACCTTTTGGAGGTCAAGATTTATGTGGGTCCTGTTCTTGCAACTCTCCCTTGTTGTGCGTGCTCCTCTAAAAGGTGGCATCCTGGAGCCTGTCATTTCTGCACCATATTTCACTTTACCTTCCACAGTGTACGTTTAAATTTAAGAAAGCTGAGATTTTGCCTGCAAGAGGAAGTTCTAGGCATTAAAAGGATGTTAGCCTCTTGAAATAAAGTGAGCTTAAATAGCCAAAGAAATTGATGATACTGTAGAACAGCAATATTTAACCTTTTTCATCTTGTGGCACACATAAACTAATACTAAAATTCTGCAGCACAACAAGAAATACATTTTTTGCTGATCAAAAATAGGTATACTTTTGTTGTTGTTAATCCTCACCCAAGGATATTTTTTCCATTGACTTTTAAAGTGGAAGGAAGGGAGGGGGTGGAGAGAGAAACATCGATTGGTTGCCTCCTGCATTCGGCCCCAGGCCAGGAACAAACCTGCAACCCAGGTACATGCCCTTGACCAGAATCAAACCCCCTACCCTTTGGTGCCCCTGCTGATGCTCTACCACTGAGCCACACTGGCCAGGGCAAAAAATAGGTATACTTTTGATTCACGCCTGATGACTATTGTGTAGGCTGTTGTCATTTTATTTGACAATCTAAGGGAAAAGAGATCATTGCCTCTGACTTAAGGTCAGGTATTGCATGTTACTGTTTTTTGTTTTTTAATCTCACCTGAGGATATTTTTTCCATTGCTTTTCAGGGGGGCAGGGGGAGAGAAACATGGATGTGAGAGAGAGACATCGATTGGTTGCCTCCCAAATGTGCCCCAAGTGGTGCTGGGAATGAGCCTGCAACCAGAGGTATGTGCCCTTGGCCAGAATCAAACCCAGGACCCTGATGTTCTAACCACTGAGCCAAAGCAGCTAGAGTGGTATTGTGTGTTTTAAAAATTCTTGGCACACCAGTGTGCCATGGCACACCTTTTGAAAATCACTGTTCTAGAAAGAATCCTTTGGAAATAGTTGGCAAAGGGGATGATTGCTATTTTTCTTAGAAATCAATAAGACAACCATTTATCTGGAGGCAGCCTCCAACCTAACCATTAATTTCTCCAGACTGGCTCTCTCCCCTGATTCCAGATGAGAACATTCAGCTGCTTGACATCTCTGGAAGTTTAGTTTGAACATGCCCAAACTAAAATGCCGTATTCCCCTAGAAACCTGCCTTTCCCATGGTTTTCTCAGTAAATGGCAACTCCATCGCTTGGCTAAAAAAATCCTTTACTCTCATTTCCACATCCAATCTGTTAGCACTCTTCAAAAAACAATCATCAGTCCAGCCACTACTGCTGTAGTTTAAGGCATTATCATATCTTTCTTTTTTGAGTTCCTGAAATATCCTCCAAACTGGCCTCCCTGCTTCTGTTTGGCCTAGTAAGACCTATTCTCTATAGCAACCAGAATTCTCCCTTTAAAACCAAGTCAGGTCAAAATCCTTTAATGTTGCTCACTCTAAGTAAAAGTCCAGATCATTATAATGACCTACAAGGCTCTCAGTTGTCTAGCTTGCTGTTACCTCTCGTCTCCTCTCTTCCCCATTGCTCACGGCACTATACAGGGCTGTTTCCACCTTGGGGCCTTTGCATTTACTGTTCCCTCTGTCCAGAACACTCTCACCAGATAACTGCATGGTTCAAGTCCTCATCTCTGAAGTCTTTGCTCGAATATATCAGTGTATCTTTCCCTGGCCACCCTATTTAAAATAGCAATCTGCTCCCCTGCCTTATCTCCCTTCTCTGCCTTAATTTCTTTTGTAGGGCTTTTTACCTTCTGGCCTGTTGTATATTGTACTTACCTGTTGTCTGACACTAGAACATAAGCTCGCTGAGGACAAGGGGTGTATTCTGTTCACTGCTATATCCCTGCCTTACAGCACAGTCTGGCACATAGTTAATGAAATGTAGATGTTGACCAGATGCAGATACTTTTATAGGTTAATGTTAAAATATATAGCTTCTCTGTTCATCCACTTCCTTAAGAAACAGTGGAGAAACCAGATGCAGTTACAGAGAAATTCTATTATTGTGGACATTTGGAATTGAAACTTGAATTGAGTACCTACTTGCGTACCAGATATAGTACATCAAATAATCCTACAACAGCCCCATATCTGTGAGATCAGTATTCTGGCTCCCGTTTTATAGCTGAGGAAAGTGGCTTGTATGAGCTCACACACCAACTGAGGTCTCCCTGACTCCAAGGCCCATAGTCCTCCTAATTCACCAGACTGTACCTTCTTCCTGGGTCGAAGGACAACCAGAGCTAGACAGGCAAGAGTTTTGTTTTGTTAAATATATTTTTATTGATTTCAGAGAGAGGAAGGGAGCTGGAAAGAGAGAAACGTCAATGATGAAAGAGTCATTTATCTTCTGCCTCCTGCACGCCCCCTGCTGGGGATCGAGCAGGAAACCCGAGCTTGTGCCCTGAACGGAAATCAAACCTCGATCTCCTGGATCATAGGTCGAACCTTAACTGCCGAGCCATGCCGGCCAAGCCGTGTTTGTTGTATTTGGCACAAGGTAAAATTATCCCAAGAATTTCAATCAAGTGTTTATCAAACTAACTATGGTTGTTAATATTTGAGTCAGAAACAGGAATGAATAATTAATATTTCTCTATTGAGAGAGGGAGAAATAGCGACAATTGGCTAACCATCAAACAAGATACCCTCCTCGGACTCTTCTAGAGAAAACTAAATGGGAAGCTTTTCATATCTATACTTTGGTGAGCAATATTGCTAATGGCTATTTTTGCTCTGGGCCTCTTGAACTCCACTTTCTAGTGTAGAAAGTGCATTTCTGGGCTGTGTGTGGAGCATTGCCTAGGAGTTTGGTTTCCTGGGTTCCTTTCATCTGCTCTCCTGCAATGCAGGGGGAGCCTAGCCTGGTCTCCAGTTTCTGACTGGAGTTAGCACAGGCCAAGAACTGCTAGCCACTGAGCTGTGAGTAATTTGCTTTTGAGAAGTAAATAGAACCTTGCCAGTAGAGAGCCCAGGGGTGTGGCCAGCAGTTCTTTTCCCAGGCTCCTCCCTCCCCACCCCCTAAATGACCTTAACCTTCTTTCATAGCTGGAGAGCAGCCAAGTCTGGCCTAAACAATACTCTCAACCTCATTGGCTCTTTTGCCTTGTAGCCACTGCCACCCCTAAGTGGCTAAGGCCCTTCCCACTAGGCCTCTCAGTGGGGTCAAGGTTTTCTAACTACTGAAAGGCAAACACCAAAGAAAGAGTGAAAGATAACCTAGTGTTCATGGCCTTTAAAGGATCAGTATTTGGGTTCTGCAATTGGGAAGTAGGACAGGACAGGGTCTTTGTCCTGGAGTGGATGGGCATCTTCAAGTGATACAGCAGAAGCCCAAAACATATGCTTTTGGCTACCCCAGATTTCAGGATGGATGTAAATGTCTCTCAACATCCTTGGAAACTGCCAATGAATGCCTTTTATCCATAGTGAAAGGAAGTAGCATAAAGTTCTGGTAAGGCACAGCTGCCTGTCATCACAGTCATTAGCACTGCCTACTAACAGTTGGCAGTGACAGGTATCAGAAGCCTATGTGGACACGTGTGTCCCATAATGCGATGGCCTCGAGGGCAACGTCCCAGATCAGGATAAGCTTCTCCAACATTCAAATAGGATTGGGGTCATGGAAGTTTAGTGTCTGGAAACTGAGTTACTGTGAATAGATACACTGTACCATTTCTCTGCTCAGCCTGGAGCCAAGGCCATCTCCAGATGTGGCAGGAGGAAGGCAAGCCAGCTACAGAGAGAAATGAGCTGTCAGGTTGCTTCAGGGAGGGGAGTGCTCCATGAGAACTTCCTCCACACTTTCAGCAGAAAAAGCACTTCTCTTTTCATTCAAGAGGGTGTAACAGCCCATCCTTACTGAGCACTTTGTGCCAAGCACTATAAAATCCATGAGGAAGATATTATTTCCATGAGGACAAGAACTGTGTCTGCCTTGCTCAGCGCTCATCCTCATCTTCGCTCACAGAGCAGGCACTCACATTTTGTTGAGTGAACCAAATAGGTAAGATAGGAATTTAGTGAAAGAGTAGTTAGGAGTTGGTGTGCCCTATGTAGTATTCTTGGGATAGCGGCTATAGCCCATAAGGACTTGTGTGGGGAAAAAGGAAGAGAGGGAAAGAGGTAAACCTAAGAAAAATTAAAACTGTGGAGTGTTAGAAAAAAACAGCCTGGGAGACTAGAGACCTACATTTAAGTCCCACCTCTGCACTAGCTCTGTAACTTCAGGCCAGTCACTTCCCTGAGTCTTTGCTTCTGCATTCATGAACTATAGGCATCACATTAAACGAGCTGATTTATTCACCAGATCTTTATTGAGTACATACAGTGCGCAAAGCACTGTTCTAAGTGCTGGCAATACTTTCAACAAGGCCCCCACTCTCACACGGAGCTTACATTTCTTAACAGGAAAACATGATGAGTAAAACTCATGGACAGGACAAGCAGGTGGTGATAAACGCTATGAAGAAAACAGAACAGGGTGATGGGATAGTACAGGGTAGTGCTTGTGGCTGGATAGTCAGGGAAGGCCTCTCTGAGGAGGTGGCTTTTAGCTGACATCTGAAGGCAGTGGGTTTGCCAAAGGGTGGTCTGGCAGTGAAGTGTTTCAAGCAGGGGAAATGGCATGAGCAGAGCCAGGCAGTATCAAAAAACACAAATGCTGTTACTCTTACATTCTGGAAACAGTAACATTGTTTAGGTCGGGGCTTGTATTATGAAATTGTTTCTTGATGGTGTAGGATATTTGCTTCTTAATGGAAGTGGCTGGGTGATGTAGAGCCTTTCTGGAGCCCTGGGATACATCTCCGTTTCCCTGGCTCCCCCACAGTGCTGGTAGCACAGCTGGCTCCATTTTAGCTGCTGACTCTAAAAGCACACTAGATAGATTTGCCTCTTCCACTACTTACAGCCTTGGAGGCCCAGAACCCCCTGCCACTCCACCTAGTCTTCTTCTGTTCTGACAAGTCAGAGCTTTGAGGGCACAAGATTCAGCTTCCCTGTTTTCCTGTGGGAGCAGGATCCAGAAAATGAAACAGGAAACAGAGCGGAAGGGGGAGGGGGTAGCAGAGAAGGAAAGGAAGGAGAAATTGCAGGAAAGTAGAGCAGAAGATCTGGACAAAGTTCTACCTCTAAAGGGTGACAGTTGAGCTTTTAGAAAACAGTCTGACTTGTTACAAGAGATCCCTGTCCGTTTTACAAATAGATTTTTGAGGGAATTTAGTGTGGGCAGAGGGAAACTTAAGAATGCATTTCTTTTCCCAATGTGAATTCACAGAGCAAGGACAGTTCATTTGTCAGTTTTGTCTTTGCAAGCAGAGTGCTGCTTGGAGCCCCACAGATTTCTAGAGTCTCGAGCCACAACCTCAGGCCCCAGTCACGAGTGTGCCCTGCAGCTTTGTGGATTCACTCACAGGCCTCTGGAGCTAAGAACAAGTGTGTGTTACTGAAAAGCCTGGGGGAAGAGTCTTCTAAACTCCATTCCCCCCCCCCCC